AAAGATTGTTTCGTTGGAGTTGCACCGACTCATCAGGAGGCTGAACCCTCGACAATCTGTGGAATCTCCGTATTTGATGGTTTGGGTCATGAACCCTTTGAACCTTGTTGAAGGCAGACCGTCCCCAAGGGGAACATAGCAGCAGGCAGCAACCCTGTGGAGCACCATGCAACACAGCAGAGGCAACACGGCTGCACAACGCCAAAAATGACTGCGAGGAATGACATGGCACATCGGACATGCAGCGCAGCAACCGTGTAGTGAAGTATAAGACAACACAAGCAAGCCAACCACACTGCAAGGGATGACAGGGCGAGCGGAACAGCAGCTCGGCAACCGTGGAGCGGAGCACAAGGCACCAACACCAAGGCAACCAACCTACAAGGCACACAAGCGGCAAACACGGAAGGCACGGCCAGCGGATGGGCAGCAAGGCAGCAGAGCAGCGAAGCGCAAGGCATCACCGACAACACGGCCACACCCACAGCGAACACAGCAACTTGCAGAGAACCACATGCAAAGCAAGCGGGACAGGCAGCACTGCGGCGGTGGAGCGCAGACGAGGCAGTCCACACCTCCAACACGGAGCAAAGCAGCACATGACCTACTCACATCACGATTGGACCCTGCAGACTAATGGTTCCCACCACCCACTGAGCCAGGGAGTGACTCCGATGAGCATCCGTCATCACCCATAGGCAACACAGACATCCCGAACCGAGCGCCCCCCATAAGAGTGCAGTAGGCACTCCAAATGAGGAACCACCAACTGTTTGGCGCTACTTAAGGGTGCGCAGTTGGGTAACAAAAAATACTTAGGAAGAACAGAATAAAAAAATTAGAGGAAGAACAGAATAAAAAAAATAGAGGAAGAACATAAGAAAAAAATTAGAGGAAGAACAAACAGCAAGAGGGAAACAAACAGACATAAAACTGATTGTGTGTGTGTGTGTGTGTGTGTGTGTGTGTGTGTGTGTGTGTGTGTGTGTGCATGTGTGCGTGCGTGTGTAGCTGTCTGATGTTCTCCATACACAACTCCTTCCCCCACCAAAAGAAAGCATGAGGGTGCCAACCGTCTCATCCACCAAAAAGCTAACCGTGGGGTTAGTGGGTATCGAAACGCCCACAGCAGCATGTTCCAGTCAGGGGTGCACCGGCCACCAGCCGGTTGGACCGGACCCAACCGGGCCAGTTGGTTGGACCGGCCCGGACCCGAATTCCGGTTGGGCCCAAAACCGGGTCAAATTTTTTTATTTTTATTTTTTTTGGTGGTGAGGTTGGACTTTGCTTGTCGAGATCTCTCGAATCCGCAGAGAAAACATGAATGTGCGGATTTTTTTTTCATGGAGTTGGGGGGGGTGGGGGGGGTCTGGGTGTCTGCCAACACTGACCGATGCATACCTGCAGTGGAACAAAACATGAAGGAAGCCATACCACACAAGGCTACAGAAGAAGAAGAAGAAGAAGAAGAAGAAGAAGAAGAAGAAGAAGTGGTAGAAGAAGAAGACATAAAAAGAAGTTATGCAGCACCGAACTTGCTCTGGGGAGTTTGGGATCACCATTCTTGTTCATAAAATGAAACTCTCTCTCTCTCTCTCTCTCTCTCTCTCTCTCTCTCTCTCTCTCTCTCTCTCTCTCTCTCTCTCTCTCTCTCT